AGTGAATACAGTACAGTCTGCATTTGGATCCAACCTAGCTGCCTATATTCTCTACCAACAAGCCGTTCAGAATCAATTGGCTCAAAGTCAAGGTACGTTTTTTTTGAAATATTGAATTTTCAAATTCTTTTTCTTTAGCTCTTGCTGCTCTCTCGGCTCTACCATCTCCAGCACAATCTACTCCGACTTCATTCAATCCATCTTCATTCTCTCTCCCCTTATTTGCCACATCACCTTCTATACCTACTACACTTCCCACACCTACACAAACACCTACTATTTTAACAACACCAAAGTCTGACACACCTCCAGGAGTTTTCAACGCGTTGTCATCGATTCTCCAGCTTCCAACCCAATTGGAAACCACAATGAGCAAGTGTACAACACCTCCGGTTATCATAAAACCAACAGTTGCCCCGTTGGAAGCGATGAGAAAGATTTCTACAGTTTCAATGCCTTCTGAATTCGTTCCATTGATACCAACGCCCTCGGCTTCGGGATCTGGATCATCTCTTCCAGCTTCTTCTCCAAGCACTTCTTCAAAAAAGGAGGAAGAAGATGAGGACGACGATGAAGAAGAGTTCGTTGACATTGAATCTGTTGACGTCGCTATTGATGGAAAAGAAAAGAGAAAGGCACATGTGGAGTTCTATCGAAGGATGAAGTACATGAGACAACAGTGAGTTGACCTAGAATCTGAATTTCACAAAAATATTCCAGTTTCAGAGACAAAGCCCTCCAATGCGGCATTTGTAAGAAAAAGGTGGACAATCATGAGAATGCGATGGCGGTTCACGTGGCAGAGCATGCGGATGCTGGATGCTACCAATGCAGACTATGTGGATGGCAGGCGATTGACAAGTACAAGATCTACACACATATGAGAGAAGAGCATCCGAGGAAAGTGGATATGTTTGTGGATAAGAGAGATATGCCAAAGATGTGTCTGGTGTTGTCGCAGTGCTTTCCAAAGACAACTGCTCGTCCGAAGAAGGAATCGAATCGGAATGCGGATACTTATCTTACTGAAGTGCTGAAGGCAAAAAGCAACGAGCACAACTGCAAAGTTTGTAGAGCAACTGTTAGAAAGGATAAGGCTGCGATGATTAGACATGTGCAGTCCAACCATACCATCAAGTGAGTGATCAGAAGTGATTAGGGGGCCCTTCCATAATTTCTTTTAGGATCATAACTTTCAAACCAATTAAATTAGATATGATAGAACTTGACGAGTGCTACAAAATGCTACTATTTGGAAATCTACATCTTGTATATAAACAAAGTTACAGACGAAATAGGTCCTGCCTGTTTTGACCTGTAACTTTGCTCATAGACAAGATGCAGTATTCCAACTAGTATCATTTAGTAGTACTCGTCAAGTTCTATCATATCTGAATAGTTCAAAGTTATTGATCCTAAAAGAAACTATGGCATGGCTAGTGAGAGCCCGCTTTTCAAGAATGAAAAAATGAATATTTTATTGTCCTTAATATTGAAATTTCAGATGTAAAACATGCAAAGCCATCTCAACAAGCCTCGAGGAACAACTAGCCCATCAAGATGAATCCCATCAGCTAAAGGATCCAAAAATGTCGGTTCACTACGCTCCGAGTGCTGCAGCCATCTATCTATTGCCAGCTTTAGAGAAATGTTTTCCCGTTGAAAAGAATTAAATATCAAAGAATATGAACCAGTAATCACTTCTGTCTTTTCTCCCCAAATTTAATAGTGTTTTTTCTTTTTCTAATTCATCAACTGCTACCCACTTTTTGCATTTTTTCATCATCCCTCCCCACCACAGCTTTCCTAATCGTTTTTCGTCAAGAGTTTTAGAAAAAAAGAACCCCACAAAAGCCATCCCATGAGAGTGACGGGTAGATTCATGAAATGTTAATGATACCAAGGCCCCCCCCCAACCCAGATAATTGCCCATCCCCAATTCGCCGAAAATGACTCTTTCACACTCAATCCATGCCACGTTTCAAATTCAGAGACCCAGTTCTATTATTCAGCTTTGATTATTTTCAGAATTGACATAAGTTAATAAAAGTTTTGAGATTTTTGAATTTTTAGCAGCCAGAACTAACCTCCAATCCTTCGGTACTTGGAAGTTGACGACCAGTTCCACGTTGAACTTCAAAGGAACTTCGGCGAACCTCGTCGGAGACTTCTGGGGGATGAAGTTCAGCTGAGTGGGCTCTGGTTGGAGCAGGAGAGACAGATAGAAGAGCTAAAAAGAAGTTTTCGGATGTTTTTGACCATCTTAAACTCACTATTATAAGTGTTCTGGGATAACCTCAATGCATAATTTGAATCGTTTGTAACAATCAACGGGACCACTGATATGCTGTTATCAATATCGTGTTCGTCCTCGAATCCTAATGTAGTCGTGGAAGTGTGTTTCGGAGTGGATGAATTTAGAAACTCTTGCGGCAAGGGCAGTGGTCGGCTCAGACCAACGACGACGCTCCGAATGTGTTCTCTCTTGAAGTCCGGGTTTACCGTTCTGGAATTTTGAGAATTTTTTATAAAGTTCGCTATTTGTATATGGTAACTATGGTACTATATATGGTACCTATGGTTCTCCTTTATGTACTGTATATAGTGACTATGGTACTGTTTACGATAACTATGGTACTATATGTGATACCTATAGCACTCTGTATGACACTAAATATGGAATCTATGGTAATACAAATCGTACTATATATGGTAACTATGGAACTGTATATGGTAACTATGGTACTATATATGGTACCGTGTCATACTCCGTATGACACCACACATGGTATCTATGGTACTACTTAAGGTACTGTATATGGTGTATATGGTACATGGTACCTATAGATCACTTCGGAGTTTCAGAAAACTCACGTGGTAACCGGATTCCTTCGTTTCAGACAATATCTGTAGAGATAGACAACGGAGATGACGACGATGAGGCCGCCGACCACGCCGCAGACGAGAACGAAGATGGTAAACAGTGGACGCTGTTCTTCCTGAGAAGAGAGATTATTAGAAATGGGTGTTAAATTGAATAAAACTGAATCAATCATATTGTGCAGAACGATTCTGAGATGGTTTTGATTCAGTACTATCATTGATTATTGTATCTTTACCAATAACTGATGTCTATTATATCTATTAGACAGCATAAAGAGTTTTCATAGAGATTAAAAATGCCCATTCAATTCTAGGAGCTCAAAAATCAATTGATTTAAACTGAAACTACAAAGGTATACCGTAAAATCTGTAATACACACTGTCTTCACACTGTCAATTTTGAGTACAATTATCTCGGTTTTTTTGAGAGGTAACAAAAATTTTTCAACTGACAAAATATTGGTGATATCATGATTAACATTTTGTTAGTTGACCACTTTGTCGTATCTTTCACAGAAATCGAGATAATTAAGCTCAAAGTTGACATTCATCCAGAGCAGCCGGCGGCCCGCCACTCAAGCTTCTCTGCGCCCTCCGACGCCCTTCAAGACGAGAAGCTTGAATGGAGATCTTAGGAAAATTTAAATATCTCGGTTCGTATAAAAGATAACAAAATGTGTTAACTAATAGAATATTGGTGATATTATGGTTAACATTTTATCAGTTGGCCACTTTTTGGTATCTTTCACAGTAATCGAGATAATTGAGATCTAAAGTTGACGATTCGGAAACATTACCAATGTTGGACAGTATGGAATAGAATCCAGCAGCATAGTTTTGATTTGATAAGACCTCAGGTTGTGATAACTCGTATCTACATTTCTAAACTATTCCCAATGGTACTCAAAAAAATATATTTAAGAATAACAAAAATGCTTTCATAAAAAACACAGATCCCAGGAGCTTTTTGCCACTACCCACTCAAACAATTTGATATAATAAACAAATGATTGTTTTCTTCTACTTCATGGGGGGAAAATGAATATTTCATTTCGGGACACTCCAACTACCTTGTCTCGTAAAATTGGAGGAAAAAAGAATAAAACGAAAACAACATGAATATTCAAATAGGGGTCCCGAAGAACAAAAAACCAAAATAATGTGATTTCTTTGGTGGTGGTGGTGGTGGTAACCGGATCTTTGCCTCAGAATTAGGAGGAAATTGGCAGTGTAGAATTTCAGAATTTTCGAAGAAAGTGCAAGTGCATTTGCTTTGATAACCCACATAGCCGCGACGGAGTAGTCGTGAGGTACGAGAACTCATCAATGAAGTTTTGAGAGAAGCCAAAAAAGAAGAAGAAGACGTCATTTGAATTAGAATTAGAAGAGTTGATTAGTATGTCTTGGAACCACAAACAAAGACTCCAGAAGATTCTTTTGTTTCCTCCACCACTCGAAATAGATCGAAATTAGATTAAAAGTCAATTCGTGATAGTTGAGTAATTGCCAGAATTGGAATGTGTCAGGTTTCGAAACAAAAGGGGTGGAAGCTAATCATTTTGTTAGTGCTCAACTGTTTTTGATGATCGGGAAGTCGGGGTGCATTGCGTGGAATTGCTAATCTCTTGTGGGTGAAAATTATGCACTCGTCTAAAAAAATTGAAGATAAAAATTTCAAGGGTAAGGAACAACTAGGTCCCTGGAAGTATCTGGAAGTCACGTTTTTTGAGGGGGGGAGGGGAGATTTTTGATTTTGGGTTTACTAATAGTCAGAAGGTGATTAAAAATTTAATGATAAAAAACATGGAGAATTTTTAAAGTTGCAGAATCAGAAAAAAAGCAAAAGAAATCTGATGAGATGTGAATTACAGATATATTTCTGAAAAATTCAAACATAATGTAGTTTTTCATTGAAAGGGGCCCAAAAAAATCATCTGACTCAAAAAGCAGTTTTTGCATTAAAATAATCCCAAAGTTGCCGTAAAACCTGTATCAGAAGGTTCGGCCTTATTTTTGTTTCGAGGTACCTCCGGTGAGCCCTTTAATTAGAGGGGGGCCTTTCTATTTTCCAGTCATTTTTTCTGATAATTTTTAACAGAAAGTTTGATGATTTTTTGTTCAGATTGCATTAAAAAATTCACCAATTTCACCAAAATTAAGCTAGTTGCAAACAAACTGTGCTTCAACAAATTTCTGTGAAATTTCTGGATTTACGGAATATTTTTAACTGAAAACGTTATTAAATTTCAAACAAAACATGTTGAAGAGGGCCCTTATATTACAAGGGGCCTACTATTTTTCCAAACCCTTCTCAGAGGGCCCTTCCATTAGAGGTGCCCTTCAATTAAAGTGGCCCTTCTGATACAGGTTTTACATTATTCAATTTTAAAAACAGATTTTAATTTGATTTCAAAATTCTACATTAGCTGAAAATCAGATTTTAAAAAAATTATGATTACAATTGAGAATTTTCCTATTTCCACAAAAAGGCGATCTCCAAAAAACTCTGAACTTTCAATTTTTCCAATGAAAGATCGAAAAGCGAAGCTTCGAGTTAATCAAATCCGGAATAATCAAGTCTTGAAAAAGACGGACACAAAGCAAATGAGATCGAGTGGTCTCTAAATTTTGGAGCCTAAAAATGGATTGTTCAAACTACCAAATACCTCATTTAAAACATCAGATATTCCATCTGAAACATCATCATCAGAATAAATCAAAGCACACCGGAAGCGGATATTTGATCCACGAATCAAATTGAAAAAAAACATACCCTGCGATTTGTAAATAGTATAGTCATGGATGGAAATGAAAGATAGAACTCATGCAATTTCAAAAATTCTAATAGCGTTCGAATTCATAGCTGTTCAATTCCATAGAATCACTAATCCTATTCCTTTGCACCGTTATCGATATAATATCCTCTCTCTATGTGTCCCACCCTTTCCTACTAATCCGCTCTTCCTTCCTAGATTATCTCACTTCGTTGGTTACTATGCTTTTCGGCGAAATTATATGACGGAGGCACTGGTCAGAAGACGTCAAAAATGGAAGCAAGAAATAAAAAATTTGAATCGTTTGAATTGAATCGAATAAAACCTAGAAAAAGAGAAAGAATAAAAACTAATTCAAGTGGTTTGTTTCTAGACAAGTCAACGAGTCAAAATGGGTTTGAAGTGATGTCAGTTGGGAGAGAAACACAACGGAGCACCAATTTAGGCCCCTTGAAGGCAAAGAGTGAAACAAATTCAGTTTGACAACCAGTAGTCAGCCAAAAAGAAACGAATTGAGAGGCAGGTGATGTGATTTTGTATGTTGTTGTTTCGAGGAGAATTATTGACACGAAATATGCCAAACATAGCATTTTTGAACCCTTTTTAAAATAAAATTAATCTACCCGGACCGTTAAAACGGGTATATATATATGGACATAAGTATCTTGGAAGCGCGAAAATTGGTAAAAGCATAGTTTTACGTTTGGTTCAAAGTTACTGAAATTTTCAAAGTAATTCCTCAAGTCTAGGTCTTGTTATGATTATTCAAAGATGAACCGTTGTGCTTTTCAAGTGACGAAGCAAATTTGACAAGTGATAACTCAGCTCAAAGTTGATCAATTAATTTAAAATTTGGCTAGTTTACTGATGAATTATTTTTATTTTTGCATTAAAAATCTGAGCCCAGTACAACGGTTCACTCAAATTTTATGCTAGAACAAACTTTAGTCCGGTTAATTACCGTAAAGACTTTAATAGAGTGCCACATACATTTTCAACTTTGAGTCAATTCATCTTGGTCCCTTTATATATCAAACAAATATAAACTATATCAAAAAACGACAAACAGACAAAATATTTTTGACATTATGATAAACATTTTATCAATTGTTCACTTTTTAATATCTTTTACAGGGAGTGAGATATATGGGTTCAATGTTAGGTATCAAGATAATCCTGAAAAAAAATTTACAATACTGGTCAGAAAAGAAAACGACTGAATGAATGCTGCTGAAAATCTGAACAGAACTCTCGATTGAATGTGGCTGACAGGTTGGGATGTGAGGGTGGAGGGCACGTCGACATCGAACCGCCCACTTCAGAATTTATGTGACGTCGTTTTATGGATGTCTAGAATGGTGAAGTTTCAGAAAGAGTCGGCTCAAAGCTCGACGATCTTCTTGACAAAGAACGATTGACACTTTCAGATTGATTAGGTCGACAAAGTTAAGATTTTTAGATCCTGAGAAAAAATCCAAAATTCTATTGCCTGGGAAAGAACACGGAAAGATTTGGCCTTTAGAATCACCTGCTTCAATTCCTCGAATTTGGGAAAATCAGACCTACACTTTGGGTTCAAATGTTCTAGATCCTAATGGAGATCTGGAAGTGAAAGAAGTGACGTTCAAAAAAAATTTGCAAAGCTATAGAATCGTTGGGATTTGGGGAACAGAGATAATCAGGTTGAGACCAACTGAGCCGATATTGATTAACCAGAATACAAAGCACATTTTGGAAAACTTTGAAATTCCTATTCTAAAAATATTTAGATGTTCCCTTTTGAAATAATTCCCTCAAGATTTGCCCTACTTTTCCCAGATTTAACCTATTTCAGATTTGACCTACTTTTCCCAAGATTTGACCTACTTCTAAACATCAGAGAATCTTTTTTTGAATTTATGTCAGAAATATGTTTCTTGGTAAGGTTCTTAAAACATCGTCATCTGAAACCCACATGATCTATGAAATTCACCTAAATAAGCCTAAACAAGTTATGCTCTAATTGAAAAAATGAAATCAAATATTCTTTTTTTTCAACTGAATTCTAGCTAACCACACAAGAAAAGAAACCCAAAAAAGTTTCAAGAACAAATAATACTTGATTCTTGGAAAGTAAAAAAAATGAGTCAAAAGTAATAAAGTTCTTCTCTTCCCGAAACACAAGGAAAAAGAAGAATATTAATTGAGAATTCATAGACTGACGTGGCAACAGATGCTCTCAAAGATGAGCTACTAGTTGGACAAGATACATACAAATGAAGAGAAAGATAAAACTATATAGAGAAGAGAGAGTAATTAGGAAGTGGCATATTGATGAATTATATAAAAGTTCTTTCTCTTCTCTTACTCATCAAATTTCTGTCTTCTTTTTTTTTGAAAAAAAAATTGGAAATTGAAGGAGACGTTGATCAACGTATGCGAGAAATGAATGAAATTCACCGTCAGGTGACTTTAGAAGAATGAAGAAATCCTCGATTAGGTAACAGAGAAGAAGAATCATGGAAAATAGGAAAGAACAACAAGGGATTAAGGACATGGAAAACCAATTTGAGACGTGATGTATATGTGAGCAAGGATCATATGTCTCCCGCGATAGGAATAAGAGAATAAAAATTAGAAAATGAAATGTAATTTATTAGAATAGAAGCAGAAGCTGATAAACCGACCTATTTTTTTCTAATAGAAGCTCATCCCCACCATTCACTTTGAGTCTATATATCTCTGTTCCTATTAGAGATATCAAGAATTTGTCAACTGATAAAATATTGGTGATATTATGATAAGTATTTTGTCCGTTGACCTTTTTTTGTATCTTTCGGAAGAATTAAGATAATCGAGCTCAAAGTTGACAGTCATTCGGAGCCACCGGCGGCCCGCCGCTCAAGCTTGAGCGGCAACCTCAAAAACTTCAAATATCTCGGTTCGTATAAGAGATAACAAAAAAACTAATGAAATATTTATCACAATATCAGCAATATTTTATTAGCATATTGCTTTTTGGTACTTTTTACAGTAACCGAGATAATTGAGCTCAAAATGGATGGTTCGGGTGGACTCCTATTGAAAGAAATACAGTATGTGGAAATTCTGAAAGTAGATGGAACAAATGATGTGAAAGGCTCAAATTGGAAATGAAAGAGATTTGAACGAAAAATCCCACTTTTCATTAATAATCCGTTTCAAAAGTTAGAAATTTAAAATGTTGAAAAGCAATCTAGGATCGAAGGACATAAATTCGAAATGACAGGTCTAGGAAAAGTCTAGACAGGCATCTTTGCAGAAGGATTAATCTATATACAGACTTCGGTTATACATAAAAAAATTAGGGAAAATTCCTTGAAAAATATATTCTCTGGATATGACACAAAATCTTGCACTGAAAATATTGTGTTTTGTTCCGAAATACTTCTTTTTCACCATAATATCCAGAAGTACGAATTCAAATTTGACTCTTGGAAAATAATTGGGAGCACCACCTCCAAAATAATCCGGCTCGTCACAGTGATTAGGGATTCTAAAGGAGGGTTATAAAGATTGTGCAGAAGCTAAGATCATAAACATGCGGCAAAAAGATTAGTCTAGAATAAGCTGATTGGTTACAGAGATTTGCTCTAAAAGCGATTATAAACCTAAAAAGACAAGAATTAAGATAAGAAGTTCAGATTTTTGATGTAGTGTAAAATCTAAAAAAATGATTTTATAGAAAATAGGCATAATTGCTCTAACAGAAGCCGAGAAGCTTGAGCGGCGGACCGCCAGCGGCCTCAGATGGCTGTCAACTTTGTGCTCAATTAGCTCGGTTTCTTCTTTAAAGATATAAGAAAGTTGTCAACTGAAAAATTAATTATCAGAATATAACAAATACTTTATTCGTTGACAGACTTTTGATATATATTTTGATATTTTTCATAGGAACCGAGATATATAAGCCCAAAGTGCGTAGGTATAGAGTGTCGCCCACCCTTGGAGGTGCCGCGCCGCCACCAACTGAGCTGCTCTAAACTGCCAAGTTTGAACTTTCCTATCTAATTTTCTATTGAAGATATCAAACAGTTGTCAACTGATAAAATATTTATCATAATATCAGCAATATTTTATCAGTTGACACATTTTTGATATCTCTCATAGGAGCTGAGATAATTGAGCTCAAAGTTGAAGTTTGGGTGGGCTTCTACTAACACAAGTTCTAAATGAATTTGTACATTGATGATCAGATTCAGTTTTTTCAAATACACAGTATTGTGCAAAATATTTTAACACCTGGAAATCCAACTGTTTTTTACTTATTGTTAGGTTAACTTTTCAAAAGTGAAACTAAAAGAGCAGGTGAAAACGCGTAAAACCTGCTGAATTTTTGCAATCTTTCCAACCACAAAAACAATTCGCACCCACCGTTTTGAAAAGTGCCGGAATGAAACAAATGAGAACCACCAACAAAATGAGCACCGAAATCAGTGTGTGCTCACATAAATCGAATAATTGATAGTAGACTCGATAGAATGAGTTGAGCATTAGAATAAGTACCTCACACATTTTGAGGGATTTTCAAAAGAATATGTTCTTCTCTTATTTTTTTTTAGCTGGCATATGGACCACACATCAACACAGAAATTTTGGTGGTGGTCGATGAGTGAAAATTTGATTTTGACACGGATGACGGGAAGGAAGGGGGACGCTAAAAAGGAGGATGAGGAGGAAGCGGTTATGATGAGTTGGTAGAAATTGGGAAAAAGGAAAAGGAAGAGAAGGGGGATGGGTAGATGGATGCAAAACAACCGAATTTAGACAATTTTGGAATTTTCGCACGAGTGAGAAAGGGTAAAATGTGTGTGTTGTGTGCTGACTTGATTGGGGTTTTGAGTTGGGAATTTTTTTGAAAGTTTCGAAGGAAAATAGTAGTGTGTCGTCTCGCGAGACTTAAGTTCAGCAAAAGTTTAGTGGAACCAGCGAATCTCGCAAAAATCAGCTACATTCGTTCAGCTTTGTTTCGCACAAAGTTCAGCAAAGTTTCATTTCTGGATTTCTCGGAAAACTCAAGTTCAGCATTTTCACGTTTTCGCATAGTTTCGCAATTTCCCAGCTCAGCATTTTCTCGTTACAGCATTTTCCAGCAAGCTTTTCTTTTCTCGCAAAGTTTCGCAAAGTTTCGCGAGAAAAAAGGAAGTTCAGCGAGACAGACGTGATCTTTATGGAAAGGGGGGTTTTTAGGTTCCAACTCAGAAGTATGTCATCTTTAACCTGTTGATCCCCTCTCACAATATCTATTATCCCATGAAAAAGTTTGATCAGTTCAATTCAAGCCCTAAATTCAAGAAAATTTGGAAAAAAAATTCACGTTTCAGAAAATCTTAATTCAGATTTTCATAATTTCGAACATTCGGATTGTGAACCATTTTGATACCCAGAAATGCCAAATATCGTATAATATATTAGAGGTTTAGAGTTTTCGAATTCCTGAAAGTTTATTAAACCCAAATCTCCAAATTGGACTTTCGCAATTTCCAATGAGAACCTCACAAGGGTAGTGTTTTCAGACAGGCTTTGAGAATTTCTTGAAGCTTTGGTCTATGGTACTTTCGAACATGCTGATTACGGTGTTGTTTTTTTCCCGTGTACTAATTTCTTACTTTTGGAGTGAACTTTTGAAGGAGTTCAAAACAATTGTTCGGAGTTTTTCGTATTTAATTCGTACTTTTAAACGTTTTTCCACAATCTGACAACGTTTGCTCATATTTCAAAAAAAGTTTTTTGAAAAAAAATTCACCATGGGGTCCCCCTTTGGAAATTTTTATAATTTTTTGAAAATTCTTCAAATGTGCTAAAATGATTTATATATATATAGAGAAGTGTAAAAATGAGATTTTCATAAGAATTAATATCCTAAATACTTCTGGAAATCACAAATATGTGTTTTCTTTCCACCCACTAGCAATCAAATCTTTTGATAACAAAGATTTACATAATTCCTGACTGATTTATTACTGTTCCGTTGGCATTTCTGGGTGTCAAAATGGTTCACAATCCGAATGTTCGAAATTTGGATTTTCTTGGTTTTTTTAGAATTTCAACTTTCGAAAGTTTCGAATTTATGAAAATCTGAATTAAGATTTTCTGAAATGTGAAATTTTTTTCCAAATTTCTGAATTTAGGGCTTGAATTGAACTGATCAAACTTTTTCATGGATAATAGATATTGTGAGAGGGGATCAACAGGTTAAATATGACATACTTCTGAGTTGGAACCTAAAAACCCCCCTTTCCATAAAGATCACGTCTGTCTCGCTGAACTTCCTTTTTTCTCGCGAAACTTTGCGAAACTTTGCGAGAAAAGAAAAGCTTGCTGGAAAATGCTGTAACGAGAAAATGCTGAGCTGGGAAATTGCGAAACTATGCGAAAACGTGAAAATGCTGAACTTGAATTTTCCGAGAAATCCAGAAATGAAACTTTGCTGAACTTTGTGCGAAACAAAGACTGAACTGGTCTTGCTGAACAATTTGCGAAAACATGTAAAAATGCGAGACTTGTCTCGCGAGACGACACTCTAGAAAATAGACAAACTTTTTTTTTAGAAAGTCATGAAAACCTTCGAAACCGCGACACTTCGAAACCTCGACACTTCGAAACCAGTCATTTGTAAACTGGTAATTTTGAAACCGTGACAAACTGATGAATTTATCAGAAGTAAAAGCTTCTCGTAATTACCGTCAACACTTTATTAGAACGCCATCTCTAACTTTCAACTTTGAGGTAATTTAACTCGGTTTCTGTGAAAGATACAAAAAAGTGGTCAACTGACAATGTATTGTTGATAATATTTTAAACATTTTGTCAGTTGACCATTTTTTAATATCTTCTACAAAAACCGAGATATGAGAGCTCAAAGTTGACGGCTTGGCAAGAGTGTTTAAGGCCCTTTCTGGCCTATTTTTCGATAAATTTCAGTGATTTTTTAATGATTGTCATTGTTTTCATGCAATTTTTTTGCGCATTTTTTAAATCTTTATTTTGAAAAAATAGATTAAATTTGATCAAATTTATTGAAAAGTCGAAAAAAAATTTTTATAGCTTTTTTTGCAATTTTTCCCAACTTTTCTGATTTCTATGAGAAAATGATTTGAAATCAATGAAACTTATCGAACGATCAAAAAAGACAAGAAAATAATTACGAAAGATATATGTTCCTTCAAATGCGCCTTTACCGGACAAAAGCTCCGCCCACCCCGACTTTTCGGCCGCAACGCGAACTCGCTTACCTTTGAGCACTTTGAGCTTAATTATCTCTATTCCTATGAAAGATATCAAAAAGTTATTAACTAATAAATCATTTATCATAATATCAGCAATATTTTATCAGTTGACAAATTTTTGATATCTTTTACAGGAATAATTAAGGCCAAAGTTAAGGCCAAAGTGCAGGGTCTTCTATTAGCGAAAATACGGTACGCTTTCTGGGAAAGTACGTTTTGGCGCCTGTCAATTTTACAATCAAAACAATCTACAAAAAACAAGGATCGCATTTTTTCCAAACTTCTAAAAATGCTGAATTTGCTGGAACTGCTGGATTTCTGGTTCTAAACATAAGAAGAGCTTTGGAGAATATAAGAATAGTAATCAGATATGCGCATATTGTTTTGAGAAACCCCGGTCTTCTTAATTTTCTATTTTCGGTCCTTATACTATTCTAAACGCTTTTTAAAAATTCCAAAATAAAAATTCTGAATAATCCCAAAACCCCAAAAGAAAACCATACTCTCATGAGAAGTTGATGCCACCGCCACCAGTCTGTCCAGAGAGAATTGGTTGGAGAAGACGTGGCGCTGCAAATGTAAATATCAAAAATGTACAAAAAGGGGCTATCCATTTCAAAAAGACACCACAAAAGTGTGAAAAACAGAAGAATTCATATTATTTTTCGGAAGAATATAAAATAGTGGACGGTCAGGAGACAGGATGGCTTGAAAATATCGAAACACATATGAATAATGGACTGAAAACATGTGAACTAAGCAAATATGGAGGTGGCAAAAAATAGGAAAGAAAAAGAGAAAGGGAATCTTTTTGTTCCGTCTGGAGAGCAGAAATTATGGAAATGATGATGATGAGAATGACGGATGAGAAGATTCTCTGAAAATAGAACAATGTGTCAACGATCAGAATTTTGAAGGAAGAATCTGGAAATTTCTGAATGCAGAAGCAGGAAAACAGGAATTCGGGAAAAACCGTGAACAGATTGTCTTTTTTCGCGGTCTAACGTAACTCCAACATATCGTAAAACCTGTATCAGAAGGGCTCCTTTAATAGGAGAGTCCCTCTAATAGAAGGCCCTCCGAGAGAGGGTGTGAAGAAAAGAAAGGCCTCTTTCTATATGTGTTGTTTTAAATTAAAAACTTCTGACCGTTTTCAGTTACAAATATTCCGGAAATTTCAAAACTACAGAAATTAGTTGAAAGACTCTTTTTTTGCTAAAAAAAGTATCTTAATATATGGGGGAAATTGACAAATTTTCATAAGTTTTGAATTGAGAACCACAAATTTTTTATGAAAATGTTTCAAAAAGAAAGGCTCCTCTAATTGAAGGGCCCCCATAATAGAAGAGCGGGCACTTCTAATACAGTTGTTAGGGTATTCAAATCCAAAAAAAACTCAATTATATGAACACATGACATATGATATTTTTTAAAGTTTGTATCATCCTGCTAAAACACAAGCTACATTTTTTTGTACCAACAAAATCTGGAGCAAAAACTAATCCCCAGCATGATTTGGTGTTCTTCTTCGTTTTTGTTTAAGAAGGAATTTCTGAGAATGATATCAAGAAAATTTAAAAAGTTGAAAATTAAAGGCAAATCCACATCCAGATCAGAAATTGAAAAGAGTGGGAAGGTTTTTTCCTTGCAGGTTGACGTCGTCAAAGTGCAACTAGGATCATACATTTGAAAATTCCCACTTACCGTGAAGCCTCTAATAGAAGGGCACACTAACTTTTAACTTCTAGCTCATTTATCTCGATTCCTGTGAAAGATGAAAAAGTTGTCAACTGATAAATTGTTTAATTATATAACCAAAAGAGATAATAACACTTTTGATACTATCAAAAGTGTTTTTTGAGTTGACAAATGTTTGATATCTTGCATAGGAATTGAGATAATTGAGCTCAAACTTGACAGTGTGAAGCCCTTGTGTTACAGATTTTACGGTATACTTTCGTAGTTTTTTGAGCTTCTAGAATTGAATGGGCATTTCTTAATCTCTATGAAAACTTTTTATGTAATATCACACAGTCTGGAACCAAAACTTTCCGTTGAAAGTTATAGCAAATAAATTTTAAAAAATACTAAATGCAAAAAAACTCAAAAATGAAACTCAGATTAGTCTCTGACAGTTTAAATATGTACTTTCAGAGAAAGATGTTTAAAAAATTACAGTCACTCTCTAGGCCCCTTCGGGCGTTTCCAGCGTTCTAAAAATGGAACACGAGTTACAACTATCCTGTGAAAAATAACCAGAAAAAAAGTTGGGCTCTTGAACTTCTA